TCGTGAAAAAGCCGGAATTACTGCTGAGGATAAAGCGATTCCTCATGGACCAGAAGAAAGAAAAGTCTAGGATACTTCCGAAGACGAACCTCGGAAAGGCTGAAGAGAAGGGAAAACCAGCACAACCTCTGAAGCCATTCGCGAAGGAGGCAGAAAAGGCGAAATCGGCAGTGATCGTGAATCATACAGTCGAACACGTCAGTAGGAGGCCTAAATCAACGTTGTCCATCAGACCAATACTGGAGGAGAACAAAACAAAGCCGAAGTTCCTTTTTAAAGTTGCTTCCGATTTTGGAGAACTAACCTTCTACGGCGAAGATATCCTTACCGACTCTAACTTAACGCTCGAAGAAAGAATGACCTGCAATTTCAATGGCTCAGGTAATTTCATGTGGATCACTGTATTCCTTGGAAGAAGAAATGTTGAAGTCGTATCCCTCCAGTTCCCTACAAAATTCAGTTGAAAAGCACTTCAAATGAGGTTCTTGAAAGGCTCGGTTGGCTAGGGTGGGCCTAGATTCGGGTTACACAAGGCATACGTATGATGCTGGTCCTGCTTGGCGTCTCGGCTGCTTCACCTCCCACAGAGCGCAAGATGAAAGGATATCTTTGATTCCTAATCATTCCCATATGGGAGATGCTCTCCCACATTCGACTTCCATTCAGAATCGTAGTGGCGTATTGGATGCTTATGTGGCCTATGCAATAACTTGCAGAGGCTAACCGACGATCAATTCAAGAACTTTTGTCCTCCCAGACGAGTCTAGTACCAAATAACCGACCTCAGAAAGAGGAAATCTCGGTTGACTTAGGCGAATATTGACCCGGGATTTGAACTCGTGACTATGCGTGCGTGATAGTGCGTCACTTGCATACACTACTGAGTGAATGATACCTTTTACATAACAGTATAGATGATGCGAAGAAAACAATGAACTTGCCAGATCCACCTGAGAATCCATAAAGTCGCAGTTCACTATAGAACTGATACGTGGAACTGCCTACCAAGGGAAGTCTGTAGCCTTAAGTATGCTCCATGTTGCGTTGTCAGGTCGGGTTTCCGTTCATAGTGAGTTGTCAGAAGGAGGAAGAGTATTGAGAATAAGGAATTGGTAACATCTTCGAAAACCCTACGGGTTCCCAAAGTTTGCCAGAAGTAAATCTGGCCGAAAAGGGTTGTTTGAAAATTATCTGGAACTATCCAGTGCACACTTCGACCTCTAGTCTTCTTTGCATCTATGAATGATACAGATGATGAGCTTCTGATGGTCCTTACGTATCGAACATTTTTCAGAACCTCCACGACTGATCTACTCCGAAGTCTATGCAGGAAGTCTTGGTGGTTGTCCTGACTGGAATTGCAAAGTGATAAATGATCTAAGGGAGATTAAGATGGCTCATGCTGTATGTCTCACTTAATTCGAATACGAAAGTCTTCATTAGACACTTTCTAATAATCGCTGCTCGAGTCTCCCGGAATGCAAGAAGAAAGAAGCCCCCTCTTCTCCATTTCGTCCTACAGAAACCATAGAACCCGTTTAGCTGGTGGGACGACAGAAAGAGATAGAAGGGTTGGTTTATAGGAGTTTTCAGCCGCCTCTCTGATGTCATACTTGCTCTCGACCTTCCTTCTGCCAAT